TTGGTTAAAAACTTCATATGCCATTTTAAATCTCTAAGAAGAACTTTCATCTAATTTGTGAAGAAAAAAGACAGATCTTTGTGGATGTGTGTAGACTATTAAAGAGTCAACATGATCACCATCAAAAATATGTATCTTCTATCTTTGATTTCAAGTCTTCTTCATCAATTGAATCAAATGAAGATTTATACAAAAATAGATCTACAAGGAATATACAACTTGGTATGCATTAATAGAAGAGATAAATAAAAAAAACTATGTTTCAAATTAGATATGGACATTTTGAATGTAATTTTATGTTGTTGGGACTCACAAATGTACAAAATATTCTTCAACATCTAATCAATGATGTCTTTTGTGATTTTATTAATGATTTTATTATCTATTATTTAAACAACATCTTAATCTATTCTAAGAACACAGAATAGCATGAAATTTATGTTGATTTTATATTATAAAAACTACAAGGTACAATATTATATGCTAAGATGGAAAAATGTATATTTCATACTACTCAAGTTAACTTCTTAGGATACATCATCTCAAATGATGGTCTTATGATAGATCCTAAAAATGTCCAAAATATCATGGATTGGAAGATTTCAAAAAAAATCAAAGATGTGCAATGTTTTTTGAAATTTTCTAATTATCACTAGATCTTCATCAAGAACTTTTTTGAAGTTGCGGCTCTTCTTATACACATGACATGTAAAGACAAACATGAATAGAGCAAAGAAGCTAAATTATTTTTTAAAGCTTTGAAGATCGCATTTATTTCTATACCAATCTTATATCATGACAACTTTTTTAAGCTATTTTTTATAGATATAGATGCATCAAATTTTGCTATAGATATTATTTTTGCACAAATACAAGCAAATGAAAAACTTCAAATAGTAGCTTTTTATTCCAAGAAATTTTTAGCAATCAAAATTAAGTATAAAATACACAATAAAGAACTTCTTATAATTGTAGATTCATTTTAAGAATGATATCATTATTTAGAATGCACTTTTAATCTAGTCATTATATATATGGATCACAAGAATCTCAAATATTTCATGTCAACATATATTTTAAATTATCACCAAATCCATTGGAGCATGTTTTTAATAAGATTTGATTTCAAGATTACTTATCAACTCAAAAAATAACAAGGTTTGTTAGAGGTCTTTTTCAGATGTTCTTATTTTGCACCAAAAGAAGGAGATGAAGCTTTTGATCAACAAAAAATATTCTCTTGAAGTTAGAGTATTTTCATCTTTGAGTAATGAAATCAACATTGACTATTAATTCAATTTTTTTCAAGCAAGTTCAATCAAGTATGTCCTTTGATTCTCTTATTCATAATATTAAGAATAATTCTTCTAATGCTTATGATACTCGTAAGTATGAATTCAAAAAATATCTATTCTATTTCAAAAAATAATGATACATTTCAAAAAATAAAGTATGATTACATATTCTTCAAGCTTGTTATGACTTTTATGCAATCAAATATTTTGGATACAACTAGACTTAAAAGCTAATATCTAGAGATTTTTGGTGATTTCAAATGTGAAAGGTAGTTAAAGACTTTGTATAATTATGTGACATTTATTCAAGATGAAAAACTCCTCATCATCAATCTTATGGACTTCTTCAGCTATTACTTATTTCAAAACAATCATAGTCTTTTGTTTCTATAGATTTTATCATAGATTTATTAGTTTTATGTTTGTATGATTTTATATTTATGATAATAGGTTGTTTTACTAAGATGGTATATTTTTTATTATAAATACAAGTTATCATAAGTAAACAAATGGCTAAGTTTTTTCTTAACAACATCTATTGCCATCATAGATTATATAAAGTTATTATATCAAATAAGAAAGCTTAATTTGTATCAAGATTTTGAAAAATCTTTTTAAAGATTCTAAAGATGGATACAAAGCTTTCTTTGACATTTCATCCTCAAACTAATAGATAAATAAAGTGTGTAAATCAAGATTTGAAGAGTATTTAAGATGTACCATCAACTACAAATAAGATGATTAGACAACTCTTTTGCCATTGGTAAAGTTTGAGATAGAAGAAGTCTTAGATTCCAAGCAATGCCAAAATAGATTAAAATATCTTGTTCATTGGCCGAAATATGATATTAATAAATGTACATAGAAGCCAACAAAGAATCTAGTAAATGTAACAAAGATGGTTGAGGCTTTTCATCAACAACATCCATCAAATTCTAGATAGAAAAAAATATGATCAATAAAAGATGATAACTACTCTCTATGGAACTTGTCCTTAAAAGGAAGGATAATGTCATAGACATACATATTTATTTCAATAATTATAAATATGATTAGATAGAATTAGGTAAAATAAGTTGATTTCATAATATCTTCAAAAGAATCTTTTTAATGTTTGTTATTGATTGATAGGTTAGAAACCTAGTCAACAAGTTAATCACATATCATATATGTTAGAAGATTATAGAATAAACTAACTATATGGCTCACATATAAAAAACTTATCTTGCAAGTTAAAATATGTCTTACAAAGTCAACATGTATTGGAGGTCCTATAAAACATTGCCAAGTAGCTCCTAAAAAACTTCATTCTTGCTTCCATATATACAAAAGCAGAAACCAACACTAAAAGTTTACTGAAGACAAAGGTAGCAGGAAGAGACACCAATCTCTTTTAAGAACGTGTTTTGATCCAAGTTGTTCTATCCCTTTACAAAACCTCTGCATGGTGGGGAAAAGTTTGGTTGATTTTAATGTAAAAAGGCACTGCCAAACTGGCACCACTATTCAAGGAATTCTAGACACTCTGTATGGTAGTTTTCTCTGTTGGTGGGATCCCAGGATTCCATTACATACAAATATGCTTTGTTTCCGTGGCCTAGACAGAATGGGAAAAAGGTATGAATGAATAAATGAATGAATGAAGCTTGTTCGGCATCTAGGAGGATTCATGTATCTGAACGCCACTCGTGATCGATTCGGCAACATCGACAGACGTCGAAGTTGTGACAAGTTGCTTCAGTTCCATCGACGGTTTGCAAACAGTTAGAACCCCACTAGCTACCGTTTTTTCGTTACACAAGTGGGGTTCTGTGCTCGCCGCCATGGGATGCCAAAGATATTACGATGTACACGTTCTGCGAATGCTTGGCACGTTTTCTGTTGTGATGAATAGGCTTACCGCTGGGTTCACACGTCTCAACGGTGGCTAGTTGGGTCATTTCGTGGTGCATTCGGCCACGGCGGATTTGTGATTCGAACAATCTAAGGCTACAGTGTTTCGTTTTGAATGTGTTGTATCGAAGTAATCAGAGGTCGGTGCCGAAGGATGTACTTGATGTGGAGTCTCGAATTTGGACTATGAGTTTGCGTCACTTGTTACTTCATGCAGTATATTATCATACTTTTGAGGAAGCAGAACAGAGTTTGTGTGCAACAGTTTCGAATCCAACTAGTACGATGATTCTGTCTGGGCTGAATCCTTGAACTCAGTACATTTATTTATGCTAAGATTCCACGTCCAACCAGTCAGATGTTTGCATCCAACGCTATGATCATCCATCTCACTTTCGAAAAAGAAAAAGAAAAAACGTAGGAGCAATTGGAATTACAACAATAATTCTTTCTGTCATTATGAAGGAAATTCCTGGAATGCCTTCCTTTTTTAGGTAGTTTCTGAAAGTAATATTGAGTGATGTCTTCTTCTGGTAAGTCTGTCTCAGCAATATGACTTCCTGAGTCGATGCGTCAAATCTCATCGCCAAAATAATAGCAATGCCCAGAAAACAAGCTGGACATAGGTTTGCCTTCATTGCTCACTTCTTTCTACCTCCCGAATGTTTCCAGAATGCAGCAGAAGCCTGTGGAATAATCCTGGTCACTGAACTTTGGAAACTGGTGACTTGCAGAGATTTGGAAAGAAATGGTTATCTGAAATCAGAAAATCTAATAAAGATTACGAAAACCTGAACGATAAGCCGCTTCAAGAGGTCGAGTATGTGAACACACGCAAGGCAGGAGATTGCTGCATAAATCGATTTTGTAATCGGATGATCCATCAGCAGATTAAAGGGATATAGCAAGTTTATCAATACTTGAGCTGCTTCCCATGGCTAGATACCAACGCCCTTGCTTGCTGTGGGATTGAAAGTCCATCCATTACCAATCCACTATCTTCTGCATCCATTTCCGTTACGTCTGGCGTATGTCACAGGAAAGGTAAGAGTGCACGGCCACATTCTCCCGCTTAGAAAGTTTTCCCTCATCTTCAAACGTGGAGCAGCCGTGGTTGACGTTTCCTTTGTTGAATTTCTGACTTTGACCAAAAATTTCCAGCAGAGAGCGTTGGCTCTTTTATATCGACGGTCTCCTAGGTAGAATTCGGCAGGGAGTGGTGTTTATCCAGAATGCTCGGAGTTGCAGTTATTAGATACATCACAATGATGTCCCAGAAGTGAAGGAATTTCTGGTGGAGAGCAACCCAATAACATGTCAAACTCAGATAAGAGGTGACTCTTTCTCATGAGTATTTCCCTTGATGTCATGTCAAGCTACAAGTGTTCTACTCAATCATCTTCCGATTGTTCGTTACTTCATCGCCTTTCCCAAAAGTCAGAGTTGGACTTCAGGGCACATTGAAGCGCTGTAGGCTTATGCTGCGCCAGCGCTCTGTGTATCCATCCCTGAAATCCATTCAGGACTCATGCCCTGACTGCTCTCAGAAGGCAATGCTTGAATGTGATGAAGGGCTAGGAGAAGACCATGTATATCCAGCTGAGTTCATTCCCTACCCACATGGTGGAGAATTGGCTGCCGCTGTCCAGAAATTGTGCCCTCACTGATCTACGTGGCTCCCGAAACATACATCTATACTATGTAATCATTGTTCAATTATAATTTGGCCATATTTGACACAGAATGTTTCAACATTAAGAGATGCGTTAGTGATTTTGGTTGTCTATGCTTCTTTTGTTTTTGACAGTACTGTTTGACATCCAAAATTGACGTACTCGTTTAATTTCCTCTTTTAACAAGTTCAAAAGAGGAAATTAGGTTTTCCTCTTGTTGAATTTTATGTCTTGCGACATAGAAACAATTCGTCGTTTAGCGGATCTGTTCTCAATGTTAAAATGCACTCAATGGAGTGCCTAGCTCTACCAAAAAATGGTCAATTTGCCTTGGTCAACAAATTTGACGTGCTAAGTATGTGAAGCAATGTCCTTCAATCGTCTGCTCTACAATAATTCGTAAACATTTGAATTGGCCACTAAAAAGAAAGTTGTACCACAGAATTACATATATTACATGGCTCCCAGCTTACTACGACGCCAGGACGGCTTTGCCATGTAACGCCGCTCCTTATTGATAGTCAATCTGATGGCAGGGAGCTTTCTTGCAATGGCTTTCCACACCATGTTCACCGCATCGTTGGCCACAGAGGGAAACTGGTACTCAAAGTGCCTCTCTACGACCAGCAGCCTCTCCCACATCAGGGTCCATTCCTCGCTGCTCACATTGCGCAGCAGGTTGATGACATACCCCGGCTGCAGCGCTCTGGTGGAATTGATGAAGATGCAGAAGCTCGAGTAGTTGAGATCGTCCTCGAAGGGAAGCTCAAGGTCGTCGCTGATTATCACTGGGACACAATGACTGGCAATGGAATCGAACAGCCGATTAGAGGATGGGGTGTCACCAGCCAAGTTAAGGCAAAACCTGGAAGATCGCATTCCACGGGTAGCGCTGTGAAACCCCTCAGAGGCGGTAATTCCAGTGGTGAAATGAACGTCGGGCTCGTCTTTTAGCAGATCGTAAAGCTCATGACGAATCTTCCCTCCCTCTTTGCGCACGATGGAGCCCTGGAAATACACGACTGTGCTTCTCGTGTGGAAGGAGGACGAATCATCTGTGAAAGTGGGAAGCACGTGCTTGTAAGGCGCAACGACGTCCTTCCGAATGTTGGCCGTCTCATTTTCGTAACGCCCGAAATCAGAAACTACGTACAGTGCATTGCGGAGGCGGTCCCTCACAGCTTGCATGCTGTTCGGGTGGTGTATCACCATTACGTGATTCTTGCCGTTCGATGCTTTCCATGCTGGGTGTTTCTCTAGATACTGAACCAGCTTCGCCTGAAGCTCTTCGTTCTTGTCTTTGTACAGTGAGTGTTTCATGTTACTCCCCTCCTCCACCAGCATTTGATCCGTCACTTTACCGTACCTGTTGTAGCTCAGCGACGCAAAGAATGGTACAAACACAAAATCTGCATCCTCCCACCTCTCAACGCGAAATGCAGTGCAAGGAGCTTCGCGATTCTGCATGTTGGACGTGAGAAGGTCTGAGGTTAGCCAATATTCCGGGCTGTGTTGCTGGTAAAGCCCCCCGGGATATGGCGGTATCTGCGATGCATTAGCGGGCCAGATTTTACCTATCTTGGGCTCAAACGCCGAAATCATGCCGTAGTGAAACTCTGGAGGGAGATCGTACATGTACACTTTGAGTTCGGCATTTGAGTCACACCCTTGGGGAACTCCATCATTCTCATCACCGAGCTTGACATCTTCGAGGGACTCCACAACTGTCCTCGAATCCATGCTCTCCGATGCTCTCTCAGTGGTTGGGACTTCATCGTCGCTATAAGCTTGCGAGGTCAGGATACGGAGGTGGGGTAAGAGTGAACCCGTCGAGAGACGCCTGACTTCAGTAGGTTCCGAATTGCTCAAGCGATAACTGCAACTGAGACCTGCGATAACACAAATGACACAGAAGGCGAATCCAAGAATGACGTGACCCTTTCTCACGGTGAAATCTTTGAAGCCTGGCACAGTTCGGTTCCCAGACCCCTTGGATAGTTTCCACATCTTGACTAGATCTACAAATCGAAAGTAGAAAAGGGAAAAAAACAACTTGTTGGGCTGCACCCTGGCAATGCGCGATAAATCCGATCCTCTGCTCTTTTACAATTCTGCGGCCCTCAAGCGCAGGCACACTGCAAGTCTACATCTAAATCTCAGTCTAGCCATTGCGTTGTATCACGAAAGGTCTCAGGAGGAGGCATCGGTATCACAGAATCCCGAGTGCAAACTCCGATAAATGGGTTCCTGTACAGCCTGGCATTCAGTTTGCCAACAGTCGCACCCCTAGTACCTCGAGTCTCAATTGACAAGCTTCGATCATCCTGTGTGTCTGCAATGCTGCTGATATGAATCTATTCTCAGAAAACGCCCCCCAGCATTCTCTGGCAGATTCTATAACTTCGAGTCATGTTCCATCCTCCGAGTATCAATTGGTGGAACCTAGACAACCATCGAAAACAAGAAGCACAATTCGCCGATTCCTACAGCATCGGAAGCTCTATGTTCGCTTATGCACGTTCCAATTCCTCACTGAAACATGCTCAAGTTAACGGATCCCGCAGTCGCCAAATGCGGATCTCTCGCTTCATCGACCAGTACCAACCAGCCCTCGTCAAGAACACAAAAAGGGTGAACGAGTGCTCTAGTATAGCGACGCGTGAGAACTTATCACGGTATGCGAGTTGAAAAGTTTGACCTCCACCAAAGTCCACAAGGAGATATTAAAAGAAATAGTTGACATTCTTTCCGCTGCCACCATTCCCTTGTTGGCTGACCTGAAATTCATGCTATCACACAAAACAACTAGACAATGTAAAAGTTCCATCATTTTCAGATGAGAATCATTACAAAATAATGTATAAAAACTTCCTGAGTTTCAAAACTACTGTGGCTAGAAGGGATGCAAAGATTGTCGTCTAGCAAGCACACGCAATATTCAAGAGTCAAGTTAGTAATAAATACGACGTGTGTAATTTGCAAACTATAATGCGTTAAGCAGTATAACTATGAACATAAACAACATATAGATTAACCTAACAATCATAGAGTACACACAAACGTGTCACTGCGGAAGTACATCGAACATTGTTGTGTCAATTTGGCAACGAGGAGTTAAAAAAAACTTGCCATACACTTCTACTCTATGCTTGGAACAACCACCGACGAAATAACGAGCCATTAGTGATCAGATTTCTTTTCTTTATATATTCTGTGTAGTTTTCTTTTGCGAATAATCGTACAGTCATTTCCAACACATGTTATATGACGCATGTGACGATATGTACACGACTTTGCAGCTCTAATTTCAAGGTTTCTAGTGGATGCTGATTGTCTGCATGCGTCCCGAGGACCGGCCCACCGAATCGCTTTCACGAGGAAGGGGAAAATAGAGCCAAGTTGAAGGATCTGTCAATTGAGGGTCCAGAAAGTCAACAATGCCGACCTAGTGCTGAGCTGTATCGGAGCCCAGTGGATCCCACGGTCACGGAGCTTTGCTAATTCTGTTAGGGTAGTGCCTCGGTTTAGAATATCTGGAAATACCCACAGTACTATTTTTGGCATTATTTTGTTCCGATGGCGTAGCTTCCCTGCAGGTATTTGCGTTACGGGTAGCAAGCCTTATGAGACACCCACTGTGGTCCAAACTAGTATATGGTGATCCAAACTAAGGCAGCGATGTTACATGATTTGCTTACTATCGACGGGACCCATAGCATCTCTTCACTTCACTTCATCTGATCAGATCTAGATCTAGGGAAAAAAAGGCTTTGTCCATAGGGAATAGTGAATTCAAGGTTTTGTAAAATGCCAAGTTGATGTTACCGTCTTGGTGGCCTTGGTAGACTTTATTCAAGTAGTAAAGCTTTCATGGGTGAAAACTTAAGAGGAACTGATGTGGATTAATTAGGAAATGATGAATCAAAGAGTGATTGACATCCTTGGTGGATTTGGATTCATTTGGAGGTAATAAGATATCTTAGGATAATTTGGAATCTATGGATCTAAGGTGAGAGGTTTTAAATATATATATATATATATATATAATATATATGTACTTATATTATTTTATTATTCAATTTAGTATTATTATTATTATTATTACTACTACTACTAGCAAAAATAACTTTAGAAGTTTTATATATTTTTATATCTTTGAAAATTTGTTTCTCTAAAATAAATATATATATATATATATATATAATATATATGTACTTATATTATTTTATTATTCAATTTAGTATTATTATTATTATTATTACTACTACTACTAGCAAAAATAACTTTAGAAGTTTTATATATTTTTATATCTTTGAAAATTTGTTTCTCTAAAATAAATATATATATATATATATATTATATATTTATTTATATTATATAAATGGGTTTTTAATTTCTATTAAAATAAATATATTTTTTTTCTTTTTATTTAATAACTTCTATTGTAGAAGAAAAGAAAGACTTATTATTGTATGATATAACATATATTATAAAGAAATAGTATATCTAATGAACATAGAATTTTTGTAAAGAAAACTATCTACATCTACAACTGGCCAAATGTCTAAAATGTAGCAATAAAAAAAAATATCATAAGATCAAATTTAAGTTATTTGCAACAACAAATTTAAGAAGATACAAAGGTATTTCTTTAATGGCTATCACGGACATATGCAAGTAAGCCAATAATTACATGTATAAATAGGTAGAAGTAAGTAAAAGTAGGTAAAAGTAAGTTAATTCTATAGTATTTGATATGGAAGCTTCTTAGAAGCTTTATAGATATTGCTTTGACTTTATAGGTGTCTTTAATTGACTTTTGGGAATTAGAAACGTAGTCAACAAGTTGGCCATATGCCACACATGTTGTTAGCTTGAAGACCAAGCTAACTATGTGGCCCGCACGTAAAAAAACTTACCTTGTAAGTCAAGGCATGTGTCCTACAAAGTCAACACATATTGAAGGTCCTATAGAATGTCGCCACGTAGCCCCTAGTTAGATAGTATATATAGAGACAAGAGTGAAGCCTTCTTCACTCTTGTCAACTCCTTTCTTGCTTCTAGTCTAATTTCAAGGGTTTCTAGTTTTCTTAGCTTTTGGCAATAGTCATTCCAGTTTCTTTCTTAATATATATATATATATATATATATATATATATATATATATATTAAATTATTTCTATTTTTTCATCTTTCTATGAAAGAAGTCTCACTTGTTTATTTGTCTTTATCATGTTCTTGTCCTTGACAGATTGATAAGAGTACACCTATAATATCATAGCTTTGTCTATTCTTGATTAAGAATGGATTGTCCCTTTTTCTTGATAAGACACAAGCATATTAGAAGTTGCGGATTACCCTCTTCTAAACTGATATTGTCCTTAGTATTTTCTTTGTTCTCAATTCTTCTCTTCTATTTGTCTTGAGCAATATTAGACATCTTCTCTTTTCTAAGTGTTATCATGGCAAAACTTGCTGAAATGAAGAGTGCAATGGCATAAATACAAGAGCAATGGAGGGAGTTAACGCTTGCAATGCATTAACTCAATTTACCACCACAAGGAGGAACAAGATTAGCAGGAAGTGAAGATATAAAAATGATTGGAACTGCTTCAACATCTACACCAAATCATGTCCTTTCTCCTATGGTGGAACGCCCTTTCAGTGTTAGAGAACCAAGAATTTTCCTATCCGAGAAGTTTGATGGCATTAGATCCAAGTTTCGAGGATTTATCAATCAAGTGCAACTTGTGATTGAACTTCAATCCCAAAGCTATCCAACTCCAGGATCGCAAGTTAGATTCATTGGTACGCTTCTTTTAGGTTCAACACTATCGTGGTTTTCATCTTTTCTTGAATGACAAGATATAATATTAGATAATCTAAAGGCTTTTTTGGCGGAGTTTCGATCCATGTATGGAGAACATGATGCAATTCATGTTGCTACCAATAAGATCTGTATTTTACGATAAGGCAATCGATTAGTAATTGCATGCTTCACAATTTTGATAACTTAAAATTGATATCAAGTGGGATGATGCTGCATTTATTAGCCAATTTTTCTATGGATTGCAATATGAGGTAAAAAAATTAATGCTCAACTTATCTGATCCTCAAACATTGAGTCAAGCAATTGACTTTGCTATGAAGTGCGACAATCACCTTTTTGAATTTCGATCTGAGAACCGTACAAGTGGACCTCAACGTTACTATAATTCAATGGCAAGACCAATATCTCTTCAACACATACATTCGGAAGTAAAGGATATGTAAATTGATGCAATATGTTTCAAACCTCTTACTAAGCAAGAAAAGACTCATCGTTGTCAAGAAGGATTGTGCTTATATTGTAGAGAACCTAAGTACAATGCTCAATATTGTCCAAAGAAGCAACGCAACCATAAAATGAGAAGTACGACGATCAAAGGAGATAACATGTCCAAAAACAAATTTGTCCAACTACAATAGGGACCGTGCGGCTGGAATCTTATACAACGCCTACTGAAGGTCCTATCCTCTCCTCAGAATCCTCTCCATGTTTTACGATAAATATTATTCTAGGATCTAAATATCTCAAAGCCTCTGCTTTACTAGATTCAGGAGCCTCAGCATGTTTCTTAGATAAAAAATTTGCCAAAAGACATAGAATATTTTTAGTAAAGAAAACTAAACTTGTTCATGTAGAAGTCATAGATGGTCGTCCGTTGTCTTCAGGAGATGTTACTCATGAAATCCTTCCTATAGAAATAACAACTAATGGTCATAGTAGCTTTATAATATTTAATATCATTAGATCTCCTTCTAATCTAATCATTTTAGATTTATTATGGTTAGAAAAATATAACTCTAAAATAGATTAGATTTCTTGTAGTCTTGACTTTTTTGAAAGTATAACTAAGAGTTTAGTTAATTAAGTAGAAAGTCATAAGTCTAATATAATTAAACCTATATTTATAGGTATAAGTTCTTTTTTGCATACTGCAAAAGAAGGATCACCATGCTTCATTTATGCCAAATCTATTTCTATTGGTGGAAAGACTTCAAGTGGCATTCCAAGCCAATAACAAGATTTTTAAGATGTATTTGAGAAAAAGAATGCTGATACTCTTCTAGAACATCGTTCCTATGACTGCTCAATTGACCTTCAAGAAAGAACACAACAACTATTTGGACCAATTTACAATTTATCTCAAAATGAATTAGCTGAACTCAAGGAGTATATTGAAGAAAATTTGACCAAGAACTTCACATGCCATTCCAAATCTCCAACAGGAGCTTCAATTTTATTTGTGAAGAAAAAAGATGGATCATTGCGGATGTGTGTTAATTATCGAGGACTCAACAAAATCACTATAAAAAATAGGTACCCGCTACCTTTGATATCTGGACTTCTTGATCACTTGAATTAAGCTAAGATCTATACAAAAATAGATCTACGAGAAGCATACAATTTGGTACGCATCAAAGAAGGAGATGAATGGAAGACTACATTTCGAACAAGGTATAGACATTTTAAATACAACGTCATACCTTTTGGACTTACAAATGCACCAGCAGCATTCCAACATCTAATAAATGATGTCTTTCGAGAGTTTTTAGATGATTTTGTTGTCTGTTACCTAGATGACATCTTAATCTATTCTAAGAATCCAGAAGAATATGAACTTCATGTTCGCTGAGTATTACAAAAACTAAGAGATGCAGGACTCTATGCTAAGATAAAAAAGTATATATTTCACACTATTCAAGTCGACTTCTTAGGATACATCATTTCAAATGATGGACTTATGATGGATCCTAAGAAAGTTCAAACTATTATGGATTGGAAGATCCCAAAAATGGTAAGAGATGTCCAATGCTTTTTGAGATTTGCCAACTACTATCAGATCTTCATCAAAGACTCCTCTCAAGTTGCAGCTCCACTTACACGTTTGACTTGCAAAGACAAACTTCAATGGAATCAAGAAGCAGAAGTAGCATTTGAAGCTTTGAAGACAGCCTTTCTTTCTCCACCAATCTTGTATCGCGTCTATTTTTCTAAGCCATTTTTTATGGAAA